GCCTTAGTGATATTAGATATAGCATACAGTATACAGAGTATATTTTATTTATTTATTATTACTTTGGTAATTCTTATTGCCTTTCAAAAATACCAATGTTTCAAACATTTTATCAGATAGAAGGCCACGAGTAGGCGAATGTAAGAATCCCGCAAAAGAAAACAGTCTCTCTACAGGAGCAGAAGAGCACAGACTAGTATTAAATTTTATAAACGCTTTTTTCACGTGGGTATTTATTCAATGTATCAAGCGTTTTCTGTTTATCATTAAAAAAAGAAATCAATTCCGAATCTGTATTTGATTGCTGCAGATTATTAGATTTATCAAAGATAAAGAATTCATCTTCACTGGAATTAGAGATAATTGTGGTTTCAAGAGGTTCAAACTCGTCTATAGCCGCGTTACACAAGTTTCAAAAACCTAACACTTTCTCGCTGGACATGGTCTTTGGAAGCCACTTTAGTTTAAATGCCGGGTGTAAACACGAAGCAATGATAGCATCGTTTACTTTTGGCGAAAAATTGAAGAAGTCTTCAAATATTTTCTCGAGTGAAGTAATAAAAATTGCTACGACGCTATCTAAAAATCTCAGATTTTTTTTATGTAACATTTTCATTCTCAGTTTAAGAGAAAAAAGAGTTGGCATTAAAATGCTATAGTAGCATTCATTTTCGCTCTGCAATCGGTCTAATGCTGACGCAATGGGAGATAATACGGCGATGCATTCTTCTAAATAATTTAACTCTACATCTTTAAAAAGAACATTTGAATCTAATTTCGGCATTAACTTATTAAGCTTTTCTCGATGTACTAAAAGATCGGACAACGCATCAAATAACGAATTCCAGCGTGTAGGGGTTGGATACTTTAAACTTTTTCCTAAGAAATCAACAATTTTCTCTGATGTTTTTGGTCTTCGAGACATATTCCACAACATCGTGCATTTTCCCATTGCTGTATGATGAATTTTGGATGCAACAGAATTTTGTTTCAACGCTTTTGTAAAGTCCGTAGTTGCCACCAAGCTTAAAGTATGGCTTGCACATCTTAGGTGCTTTGATAGTTCAATAATGGGTTGAATATTGGTGTCCTCTTGCTCTTGATTGATATTACGAAATTCAAAATCTGTATCTAATTCATCGACGTATTCATCTAAATCTTCTTCGTTACTACAATCTAAAAAAGAATGCATTTATAAATATTCAAATGTACAATGACCAAAAGTAAAAAATATGTGATTATCAATTCATCAATTTTATCATGCATACGAACATTCGGAATCTATTTCTCCTTCCTCCTCTTTCTCTAGCACAGTAGGTATTTCTTCTTCTAGCATAGTTGGTATTTTTATCTTATAACCGAATTCTTTAAAGGCTTTGACAAAATTCGATCCATTGTCAGTTACCGTTGAAACTATCTGTTTGCTCTTCAAATTATATTGCATATTTATTTCAAATAATAAATTTGCTATTGAAATATAATTATGTGTTCCCTTAAAACGTTTACATGCAAGAACAGCACTGTGACGTTGAAGAGTGTTTTCGTCGATCCAGTGTGCCGTCACGCCCATGAAACTTCGATGTTTCGTGGACCAGATATCTGCTGTACTGCATATAAATTTTACGTTTTGAAACACTTGTAATAGTTGTTCAGTAACGGATATACGGTCCTCTTCTATCTTTCGACTAAGAGTTCGACGAGACATCACTATTATAGAACTGTCTAAACCTCGGCATAAGTCGATAAAATTTGGATCGTCAACAGTATTAAGTGGTTTCATACTTTTCACAATGTAATTCATTACATTTTTATCAAAGAGTGTTTGTTTCTGTTTGTTGCTGGGTATCTTAACTTCACTAATTTTCAACTGCTTCTGTTTTACACAACTGCTTCCAACGTCAATGTTTGTAGAAATTGTAGGTGCAGATTTGTCATCATTTGCCACTTTTCTTTTTTTACGATTAGGATAGGATTTTATTGACATCTCGGTGAATTTATTGAATTCTGTAGGATGTAATTTCTGAAATTCAAATTTTAATAAATTTAACACTCATGCTATGTACATATTTATTTGATTTCTCGGGTTTGTTCAAGGAAGGCTTTAGGTTTAGGTTAGGATTATTATTATTTTTACCGGTTTTGCTAAATCTTATATTAAACGTATATATTTTTTATAATTTTATAAAGAATTTACCTTTAGATGTGTACAAAAATTAGTTGTGCATTTAGTGCACCTTTTATCATTGTTTTCTTACGTTTGGCATTGCACACCTTACATTGAGCCATAACTTTATTGTTATCTATATTTTTTATGACGAATAATTCGCCATTTAAAATAGCTGGTATATTTTCTTTCTCGCAGTAGTCGCAGTCTTTAGATGTCCTGGGTTCAGCGTCCATTTCTTACATTATATGCTGTATGCTGGCTATGCTGCTATTGTTATTGTTCTTATATTAGCAAAAATCTTTGTAGAAACTAATTTCATAACCCGGCACGATGCAAAAGCTCACGCGACTCTTCGTCATAAACAAACGGATCGCGAGATAGATACACAACGCCGTCTATTATGTACCGACCTTCGGTCGCCGAAGCAGTTCTCATTAGAAGCTTTTAAGAATGTTAGAATTTAGAATGTGTATCTATTTCGCGATCCGTTTGTTTATGACGAAGAGTCGCGTGAGCTTTTGCATCGTGCCGGCAGACGATAACTCGATAACATTACAATTTTTTTACTTTTTTCAAAAAAGGACAAAATATGTAATTAGTAAATACATTTAAATACATTTAAATACAAGATACACTTAGATTAAGTAATTAAATGCAAAATACAAGATACTTAATTATTCGGTATTTAAATACTGTATTTAAATAAGATACGTATCTAAATACGTATCTCAGATACTTTAAGATACGTATCTGCCCAACCCTGCCAGCACTTTTCTCACGTAATTTCAGCGGTTACGATAAAAAAAAGCA